CTCTTACTAACTAAAGGCATCAAAAGACAAACAAAAACACTGGTGGACTAAAACACTGAAGCAGAAAACACTGAACTGGAAACAAAACACTGGCAACACGGAGGCAAAACACACACAGCTTAAGGGTATGACACAACACTGACTCAGAGAAACACAGGGACTAAATACACTGGGAAATAACGAGGAGAATGAGACACAGAAGGAGAGCACAGCTGGGGAAAATTAGAACTGACGAGACGAGCAAAGCAGGACACATTCATATAAGACACGGACCTGCAAAGTAAAACAGGAAGGATCACACAGAGACGCGAACTTGACACCGTGGAGACAGCAACTAAGAAACACAGAGACATAAACCATAAGGCAGAGGACTCTAAGAACCGAAAGACACAGAGGGGAACTCAAACATGCAGACACAGACTTACACAGAACAGAGGGGACACAGAGAAACATGAAGGCCAAGGGATCGAAACTAGAAACCATAGAATAACTCATACCAAGTACAATAATACAAAAATCACAAAGAACTAAAACGCTGGGTCAGGAGACCCAGGACCCTGACAAAACCTGCAGTTGTTTTCAGATCATATTGGTAAAGACAACACATTTTCTGAGCAACTATCGTACCCTTTGACTGCAGATTTATTTATTTCTCATTTTAGGAAGACATTCTTTGTTTGCTGTCTCAGTGTCTCACTCATGTCTGAATAATGAGCTTCAGATTAAAAGATTTTAAAGGGAGACTGTTAGCAGGGCCACATAAAGACTCCTTTTTAAACTTGAATGCTGTGCCATGCACATGAAAGATAACATGTACAATATAAAACTGATTTCATTAAAGAACCACTTAAAGAAAATGTTCTTTATTGGTGGTTACAGGTTGGTAGAGAGAATTTGTGGAACAGTGTTGAAGCTACAAAGTATTAAAAGATGCATTAACACACTGTTTGACTCTAAAACTGAGGTTTAGTGATAATTCGAAACAACGTACAATAACACCAGAAATTACTATCCAATCAAATTTGTGTCTAGTTTATACTTTACTGCTACTCTTACACTGAATGGATGCTTTAAATCCCGGAAAAAAAATATGTTGTTCCCAGATCAAAGAAGAAATACATCTCTGTTTGGATAATGGCCCAAAATATGTATTTTTTTAAAGGTCATTCATCATAACAATGAAATACATGTATCATCCATCATTAATCAAGACAACTGGTTTAATGATGAGAAAACTTGAAAGAATTTTACACTATTTTTTCAGATAGACAAACGAATGTATTTGAAGATCAGACTCTGATGACTCATCATGGCAGAAAGGGATCCCAGTGGTGATAGGATTTAGGTCAAGAGCCCCATGAGTCTAAGGAGGTGGTGCCGGTGGTGTTGAAGATGAAGACTGAGGCTTGGATGGAGGTCTGGCTGATATCTCAGTGAGGCGGAGATGGGGAGGAGGTGGGTTGCACAAATCAGAATCTTACAGTATGAATGATGGAGAGCAGAAATTTAAACTACGAAAAGTGGAGGCTGATTAGTCCAAAGAAAGCAGGCAAGAAGATGATTGTACT